TACGAAATGCTCCTAAACTGATTCTAAGTCCTTGGTTGTGTATTGTGTCGAGCTCTTTGAGATAAGACTTGCGGGCAGACCCATACACAATACACCCATAATCGAGTTTTGATCCTATTAAAGATCGATATAATCGGAGCAAGACCTTACGGTCTGCTCCCCAGTCAGTATATTTATTAGACGAGCCGCTCACTTACCCGAGATACGTTGTAATCATATTATACATTGTAGTTTGAAACTGATTAATAATGCTGCAAATGAGGTTTAGAGACTTCAAGAAAATGTATCAACAATTTAGTAAATTACTTCAAAACACAACAAAGTCATATCTTGCCTTACTGTAATGCTCAAACATTATTTGAGCATTACCCTAAGGCAAGAAGGAATTAGTGATGGTCCGATATGGCATCTATCAGTTTTACCAATATCAGATATTGACAGCAAAATATATTGGCCGATACAGATATAATTACCGATAGTGGTAGATAAAAAACTATTACACATTAAAATGTCTCGATTGGCTTAGCTTAGTTTAATGGCAACTGGTTTAGTTTCTTCGAGAGACGTTTATAAATGGACGACCAATTCACTTATTTATGGCGTTTATTTATTAGACGAGCCGTTCACTTTCCTGAGATACGTTGAAAAATCAACAAACGGTGTACTTATCTACAGCCTTTACTTATTAGACGAACGTTTACTTTAACCGCCCCCCCCCCTCCGGAGATACATTGAAAAATCAACACACGATTAATTTATCTACGGCGTTAAAATATTAGATGAACCTTTTAATTTCATGCAAGCTGTTTATGCGATCGGTTCATTTTGATTACAATTATTTACATATGAAATAATATAAAATGTAAATATAAAAAAAATGCACACCCATAGACTATCACCTTACCGTGGTCGTAGTATTATTTATTATCCATTATCTTATAAAATTAGTATTCCACCATTGACAAATACATCAAAAATTGGTAAATCAAATCCCAGGTAATTATACAATTGGAAATCGGTAATGTATCTTTTTTAAATCACAAATGAATTAACTAGTCCTCCATCTGTACACATGGTCATAAGTCAAGCTCACGATGGCAGTGCGATAATCTCGCAAGACTGTGCATTAGACTGGCGCCCCCAAAAAGTCACTGTCAATCTCTATAGACAATCTGTGGCCCATTTTCAGACAGCGTAATTACTTGATTGGGGGCTCCTGCGCAATTTAGTTGATTATTGGGTACAGCTAGGTGTTAAATTTGTTACCGATTCAAAATCCACATTCCCGAAAAAGAAAAGGGTTTATAAATAAAACAGAACATATATTTGGCTATGATAATCTAATAACAAAAACCAATTGAATGTATTTATATGTATCGGGGATGTCACTAACTTTTCAAGTAACAGGAAATTTTGCTAAAGTAAGGGGCAGCAAATGTTTAGGGCCTCAGGCCTGAATCTGCGGGCAAACCGAAGGGTGGGGATTACAATATACTTATAAGAATCATGAGGTCGATTTATACAACGGAAGTAAGGGGGGTTACCTCCCTTTTTGAAAGTAAAACTAGCATTGGCATAATTATGAACATTTACCGTGAGAAATAGCCTTCCGTGCGGGAGAAAGGTCGTAAATCTTTGAGTATCACGGAAAAAACTGGTTAGTTGATACGTCTGTGTGCTTAGCGTTTAGGAATTAAATTAGTTTCAATTAATATAATGCCAAATCATTTTATTAAAATGAAATTGCTGATTTTTTTAGCTGAAAAGTAGCCGGAAATTGGCCTAATGTAAATGGCGAAATTTGCCGGTTGCCGGCTTCTAATGACATCCATGTATGTATGTACACTAAACACTAGAAACCCAAATAACAGCATCAATACTAAAAACACAACACTGGAAAACAATCACTGGTTTATAAATAAAGAAATAGCAGCATGCACAAAAAGAAATCAAAACTGGAAAACAATCAACAGATTTATATATAATTGCATGTATTGATAATGTAAATGAACCATTTAAATCCTATACCACAGTCTGTTAAAATTGTTAATAAAAATCTGTGTCTAAAAATCTTCCACTCAATCAAAATTCAGAGCCAAGCCAAACTAAGCCAGAGTCAAGAGTTATTTTAGTATTCAAAATAAACGCAACTTTTATGTTGTGAAAGCCGTTTTTTAACTACGATTGTGTGAAATAGCTTTATTTAACGTCCGCTTCCACCGAGGTGATATCGCAGACAATTATCATATTAGTCACTAATCTCCTCTTAATCTATATTCCCATACACATTAATTACAGAAAAGGCCTGTGTATACTAGGGCCGTGTCGATACTGTTCATTTTCGATACGATACGTAGTCTTTGTCTATCAGGTAACTAGCCACGTAACTTAGCAAAAGTTTTTATTCATTCGGCAATTGACAGACACACGTACGGCACAATTGTCACGTGACAACCATACTTGAAATTGCTTTAAAATAAAACTTCCTTACAATTATGATATAGCCTTCAATAAAAACAATATTTTTAAAATTAAGCCTTTGTCAGAATGTGTATAAAATAAAAATAAAAATCCTAATGGTAAGCGCTATTTAGAACTGGTTTATTGACCTAATTCGAAGCGATATGTCACGTGTCATTGGAATTCTATCAGGAAAATATACTATTAAATGACTGTTTCTCAGTGTATTCGGTGTTCTATCAGGGGATTATATTCAATGAAGATTTAAATTTACCTAACAACTGGTCAGTGAACCCATCAATGTATGATCCAGTTATTATTTTAATATCTACCGGTACCTGCAATTCATACGGTGCGCGGAAGACGCTCGATTGGCAAACCATGCCGAGATCGTCTTCTTTCGCCACATGGGTTTCGTGGTCTTTCTTAACTGAGGAATTTTTTCAACGACACGGCGATACGGCTATATTACATATCGATATAAATATCGCTGGAACGTATCGATATATCAACACAGCCCTAGTGTATACAAGCTATTATGAGCTATTCACCTTTTGGTCAGCTGATTGTTATTTGGAATATAGGATGAAGTGCATTTTTTTATATTCACCTTTTTTATTCGTACTTCATATGTAAATAATTGTAATCAAAATAAACCGATCGGATAAACGGCTCGCAGGAAATTAAAAGGTTCATCTAATAGTTCAACGCCATAGATAAATTAATCATGTGTTGATTTTTCAACGTATCTCGGGAAAGTAAACGCTTCTTTAATAAGTAAAGGCCGTAGATAAGTAAACCGTGTGTTGATTTTCAGTGTATCTCAGGAAAGTGAACGGCTCGTCTAATAAATAAACGCCATAAATAAGAGAACGGGTTGCCCATTTATAAATGCCTCTCGGAGAAACTAAACCCGTTACCTTTAAACTAAGCAATAGTACTAACTAAACTAATTTTGTAATTCTTTAAAGATTTTTATCAAGGTAAACCCGTTACCTTTAAACTAAGCAATAGTACTAACTAAACCAATTTTGTAATTCTTTAAAGATTTTTATCAAGGTAAACCCGTTACCTTTTGAAAGTAAACTATATGCATACTTTCCAGTGCTAAAAACCTTGTTCTAAACGATACCATTCTTCTAGTGTTATTTTTTGGTAATATTATTAATTAATAAAGTATGATCTATATTATGAGTTATATTTGTTGATACAAATTATGTAAAAATTGTAAAGTAGCCTAGCATAAAAATACAAATCATTAAATTATTTCTAAATTTTTATCGGCATCTAGAAGCCGGAATATCTGACGGTAATCATGTGACATAAGGGGATATTCCCCCATTTCATCCTTCATGTGATATTCTCCCGCCTTTTCCAAAAGTTCTACTCATTATGATAGTGGCAGACAATACTAGCAGTGAACTAGATAAAACAAAGGAAAAAATGCCACGAAGTAGTAAGATTTGGAACTATTTCAGGATAAGCGACGCTTCATACCAGCATGGTATGCAATGATGAGCCATTGCTGACATCTTCTTTAGTTTTATTATCATAAATCATGATATACCTTATTTCATAGTTAATAAATTTATTACTTATCAGAAACAATTTCAAAAATTCAATAGCCTAATATGGTATTGTTCTAGTTGGTGATCTTGAAATATCAGCACCCATTGAAAACAGATCGAAGAGCGGCCTCCACAAGGTACTGACTGTGTACTTCAATTCTATGATTTTGATCATCATGCAATTGGCGTTTTCCCTATTCCAATCAAAGTTTTATCAGGTGGACTGTTGTACGTTAATGTCTGCCTGCACATGCACAGAAATGGTATTCTCAAAAATCGCACTGATAGACCCGAGCTCTCAAACAGTGTGTGAATAAAGATTTCAAAAATAACGGAGACCGGTAAGGATTTTGTATTCTTTCCTTTTTATGGGCCCTATGATGAGAGTCTCATATTACCGGTATGTCTAAACAGCAACGCGCACGGCAACCGATATATGAAACTTTTATCTTGGTTACCATATGTGTGGTAATTTAGATAAAAGAAACCGGTAAGGATTTTGTACTGTTTATTCTTTCCTTTTTAAGGCCGCTATGAGAGTCTTGTATTGCCGGTACGTCTAAATAGCAACAAGCACAGCAACTGAAATAAAACATTTATTTCGGTTGCCGTGCTCGTGACTTTTTAGATGTACCGTGTGTCAAGCAAATAATGATTTGTTCACAACTCAGAAAATATTTTAAAGGTATTTACCGAATTGTTTTCAACAGATATCGGCAAAATGGCCGAGTATCAGCCGATACTGATTTCTCCCGACAGGCCACTTATTGGCCAATTACTGATGTTGAAACCGGTTATTGAACCATCACTAGAAGGAATGATTTGTTACAGAATGGAAATTTTAAAGTATAGTCGCATTATTGTCTTGAATACTTCATAGTCAATCATTTTCCAAATTAAAAGAATATGTAATTTGAGTCCCCATCCCATCATCATATGCAATTTGATAGTTAAATGTAACTGCTCACATACCTTCTAAGAACTTGTATTTCATTATCTAAAGCTTCTTCTTTGCCTCGTAAGCCTTGTCTATCAATACATTTGACTGCATAGTATTTTCCTCTATTTGTCTTGTCTTCTGCTAAAACTACTTCCGAGAATGCACCGCTGAAAAATAGTAAAATCAAAATAAACTAGAACTGCGATACAGTAATGACAGGTTTTCACTGTCGCCACGTTACTCTGGAACGTATCTCACTTCCGGTGCCGCATTATCCTTGAACTTATGCCATCTCTCATAATTTCTCACGTCTCGCGAGAGTTCTACTTTTCATTTCAGTTAAATTAACCAATGGTGCATAGGCGCCATCTATTTTTAGCAACATATTCATCGGAATTTTATTATCTTGTGCGATCACATTATACTAATCGAATACACAAAATAAATGTTCACAATGACAGCATGGTGGCGCTCAGAATGTGAGTCTTTCACACTCTTGAAAAAAAACCAAATACATGTCCATGAATTGCAAATATGGAGAGCGAATTTCAATTTTAAGGCGAGGGAGAAAAACCTCTCTTCGGTCAACATTCGGGTGCGCGACAGGCGCTCGAGAGCGATCGCGCGCCTTAAAAAAACAATGACTGCAGATCGGCAGAAAACTTTTGAGAGAGAGAAATGGAGTTTAACGTCCACTCGACACAAACTAGGTCATTTCGGGACTAACATATGGTTTAATTTTATTTCATAATTCGCTTGCGCGTAGGGGTCTTTAGCAGTGGGAGGAAACCAGAGGACCCGGAGAAAACCCACGAGGTTGGACAGGCCACCCTACTCCTTGTCGCGTACAACCGGGGATTAGATAACTTTTGATGTTAGAGCATTCACAAGGTTCAATAAAGTGAAACAAGGGCCATAACTCTAGACGTAATAAACATAAATTACTGAAATTCAATAGGCTTCTTTATTATTATTATTATTATTCATCTTCTATAGCGCTTCATTATATCTGCTTAACAAATGTCACATCACAGTTTGTAATAATATTTAAACAAGTGAGTTTTTAACTCCGATTTAAATTTAACAAAAGTTGGACTTGCTCTAATTTATCTTGGTAGCTTATTCCACATATGGGCACCATTTATAGGGAAAGTTAATTTCTCTCTGAGTCTCTTGTAAGCAGGCACAGATAGTAAAGAAGTATCTGTGGACGAACAAAGATTCGGTCTTTCCTGTTTGTAGAATGTGAATAGTTGTTTCATGTAGGAAACAAAGCTTTATACACACTTGATAGCACTTTAAAGTCGATCCAGGCTTTCACAGGCAGCCAATGAAGACTTTTAAGAGTTTCTGTTACATGATCTCTAGAAGATGACTTGGCAACTAGTCGAGCACAGTTATTTTGTACAACTTGAAGACGTTTTCGTTTTACTAATTTAAATAATGCATATAAATTTCAGAAAGATCGGATGATAACTTTTGGTGTTAGAGCGTTCACAATGTTCAATAAAGTGAAACAAGGGCCATAACTTTAGGCGTAATAAACGGAACTTGCTGAAATTCAAAGAACTTCGTACAGTAGATAACTTTAATGTTAAGAGCGTTCACAAGGTTCAATAAAGTGAAACAAGGGCCACAATGTTCAATAAAGTGAAACAAGGGCCATAACTCTAGACGTAATAAACGGAAATTATTGAAATTAAATAGGCTTCTTCATTTCACTCATGCAAACAACATATATCAATTTTAAAATAACTGGATGATAACTTTTGGCATTAGAGCTTTCACAACAAATTTTGGACAATGGACGGACCGACAGACTGACAGACGGGCTGATGGCAATATACGTCCACATTTCTATGTGGGTGTATAAAAAACTGAGCCCGATGTTTTACCTGATTTGAAAAAAATAATATTTGCTTTCAAAAAGTGGTACTGATCAGATGATAACTTTTGTCATTCAAACATTCACAAGGTTCAACAAAGTAAAACAAGGGCCATAATTCTAGAAGTAATTGACGGAAATTGCTGACATTCTATAGGCTTCTTCATTTCACTAATTTAAATAATGCATATGAATTTCATACAGATTGGGTGATAACTTTTGTCATTCGAGCGTTCACAAGATTCAACAAAGTGAAACAAGGGCTATAACCAGTGATGGGATTTCAAAATTTTAGTTGTTGGACATTTTCTTCCCGAAAATAAAGGAACATAACTCTTATCGTTATTTAAGCAGGCGTTTTCAAACCACAATTAAGAATCACGTGTCAACAAAATATTCAAATTCATACTTAATCAAAAAAAATAGGTGCACCTCGTTATTTTTCATATTTAATTCCCGTACGGTATTCAAATTTATGTCAATAATATTCCTACAAAATTACATGACATCGTAAAACCATAGAATGAAAGCGTGCAGACTACTGCCCATCTGTACCGGTTTCAAATTCCCCCAAAATTACTGTATTTTTCGGGTCATAAGTCGATACATTTTGTCCTATACTCCGTTTTGATTTATATACGGAAGGTAAAACGATAGGTTGACAGGCAACAAAACATACGCCCATAGGAGCTAAATCATCCGAGCGAGCGACAAGGGTTGTCGCATATTTATTCTTTTGTAGGTAATTAGGGGAATTTAAAAGACAATTTCATACAGATGACATTATAATTTTTGTTGTTTGAGGGTTCACAAGGTTCTAAAAACTAAAACAAGAGCCGTAACTCTGCAAGTAATCTACAGAAATTGTTGAAATTCGATAGGCTTTTTTGTGTCACTAATTCAAATAATGCATATAAATTTCATACAGATCAGATAATAACTTTTGTCGCTCGAACGTTCACAAGGTTCAACAAGTAAAACAAGGGCCAGAACTCTAGAAGTAATTAACGGAAATTGCTGACATTCAATAGGCTTCTTTATTTCACTTATTTAAATGATGCATATGAATTTCATACAGATTAGGTGATAACTTTTGTCGTTCAAGCGTTCACAAGATTCAACAAAGTGAAACAAGGACCATAACTCTAGATGTAATAAACGGAAATTTGCTGAAACTCAATAGGCTTGTTCATTTTACTAATTTAAACGATACATATATATATATATTTCATACAGATCGGATAACTTTTGTCGTTAGACCATTCACAGGGTCCAACAAAGTGAAACAAGGGCCATAACTCATGGCGTAATTAACGGAAATTGCTGAAATTCAATAGGATTCTCTGTTGAACTAATTTAAATGATGCATATCAATTTCAAACAGATCGGATGATAACTGTTGTCATTAGAGCGTTCACAAGATTCAACAAAATGAAACAAGGGCCATAACTCTAGATGTAATTAATGGATATTGCTGAAATTCAATAGGCTTCTTTGTTTTACTAATTTAAATGATGCATATAAATTTCATATAGATCGGTTGATAACTTTTGTCGTTGGAGCGTTCACAAGGTGCAAAAAGGTGAAACAAGGGCCATAACTCCAGAAGAAATTAACGGAAGTTCTTGAAATTAAGTAGACTTCTTCATCTCACTAATACAAAAATGAAATGAAATGAAATGGGGGTTTAACGTCCTACTCCTATGCTGGGCTAATGAAGACGGGCATACGCCATACAGTGTGCTATGAGGGAAATTTTGCCCGGGCAGCGGTACTATCGCCTACTCTTCTTATATCGAATTCCAACTGCCAAGGGATCTTTTACGTGCATTCCAATGTATACACGGGACCTCGGTTTTTCGTCTCATCCGAAGGACTAGACAGCTGTCCTTGTCATCGCTAATACAAACAACATATATCAATTTCAAAACAATCAGATGATAAATGTAGTCTGTAGAGTGTTCACAAGAAATTGTGGACGATGGACGGACGGACGGACCGACATACGGACGGATCGACAGACGGACGGACAGGGGCAATATACGACCACATTTCCATGTGGCGTATAAAAATGGGTTTGGCTCTGCCCCTAGGGGTTGGATATGGAACAATATAAATAGGTACCACCCTGTTATTGAAATGAAAGTATGCAAAAGTTCATTATGGTACATTAAGAATTGCGGCCTGTAGATGACAAACAAATAAATACAAGAAATGGACATGGCTCTGCCCCAGGGGGTCGGGCATGCACCAATAACAATAGGGATCATCCTTAGGGTATAAGGAATTCATACAAAAATTTTTCAAGACGATCGATTAAGAATTGTGGCCTGTAGGTGACACAGACACACAAAAATAAAATGGGTGTGGCTCTGCCCCTGGGGGTTGGGCATGCACCCCAAACGATAGGGATGTTCCTTAGGGTACAAAGAATAAGTATGCAAAGTTTCAAGATGATACGTTAAGAAATGCGGCCTGTAGACGACAAACAAACAAATACAAGAAATGGGAGTGGCTCTGCTCCTGGGGGTTGGGCATGCACCCCAAACGATAGGGATGTTCCTTAGGGTACAAAGAATAAGTATGCAAAATGATACGTTAAGAAATGCGGCCTGTAGACAACAAACAAACAAATAAAAGAAATGGGCGTTGCTCTGCCCCTGGGGATGGGGCATGCACCAAAAACAATAGGAATCATCCATAGGGTATAAGGAATAAGTGTGTAAAGTTTCAAGATGATCACTTAAGAATTGTGGCCTGTAGGTGACACACAGACACACAAAAAGAACATGGGCGTGGCTCTGCCACTGGGGGTTGGGCATGCACCACAAATGATAACAATGTTCCTCAGGGTGCAAAGAATAAGTATGCCAAGTTTCATTATGAAATCCGACCTGTAGATGAGAAACAAAGAAATACAAAACATGGGCGTGTCTCTGCCCCTGGGGGTCAGGCATGCACCAAAAACAATAGGGTTCATCCTTAGGGTATAAGGAATATGTATGTAAAGTTTCAAGATGATCACTTAAGAATTGTGGCCTGTAGGCGACACACAGACACACACACCCATACATGTACATACACACACACACACAGACGGGGCGACGGCAATATACGTCCACATTCATAATGTGGTCGTATAAAAATGATCATCCATTTTGGCGGAAAAAAATCGAAAGCCAGTGTGAGCCCTGGTACAATGACAGGGGCAATGACAACATACGTCCACATGAAAATGTGATATAAAATAATTAATAGAATACAATATCAAAAAACCATCGT